ACTATGAAGATGATGAAGTCAAAAGACATTCGCATTGGCCTGCTACTACTGATGGCAAGCATGAACTCAGTGGCTGGAAGCCCAGTTGAGAAGGAGGAGAAAGCAGGCAGCGAGTATGCATGGTGGGCACTAACTAGTCTTCTGCGCCTTGATTGGAGCCTTGAGCACACTGAAGTGGCTTCGGATCTTCATGGTCGAGGGTCTTCATGGCATGCTGGGTCGGATGATCAAGTATGAGACCTCAGCAGGACAGGAGACCACAAGCCAGAAGTGCGATCAACAAACTCAAGCAAATGAGTGGATCGACTCCTACATCTGGCAACAGTATGAGGAAGAGAAAGAAGAAATGGAAGAAGAGATGCACAATATGCAAGCTGCATTGCTGGAAGCAGAAGAGATGATGGGTCATTTGCAAGAAGACCTGAAGGAGGTTCGACGTCAGCGAGATGACAACCTCGCCATGTTTCTGAAAAGCCAGCAGCAGCAGATCAAGATCGAGAAGAAGATGTGCAATCTTCGAAAGGCGCCAAGTGGAAATGCTATCCACTTTGATGCTAGATGCATCCACTGGCAAAAGGCCAGAAGCGCCACTTTCTGTAGTGTGTGCCAAGACGAAGGGGCCGTGTTAGAAATCCATGAAACGGCACAAGGTTCACACTCAGGTCAATCGTCTTGACACATTTACGCCGTGAACACGAAGGCTCAATTTGCAGCTGAAAATAGTGTCTGCGCTACTTTGCAAACCCTGTACACTGTAGTTTAGATGTACAATATACGCAAGTGATTTCGTATCTAAGCACCTGCTTGGTTCTCATCTTGAGCCCAATCGCAGTTTGGAAGGTTCAAAAGTGACATAGGTCTCGTGACGCCATTTAGCCGCTGACGCCGCTCGTGTTTCCTGAGGCAGGGATTGCTGACGCCGGGCATAGACCCAGCTGTTCGTTCAACAGGGCCGGCTACCTGCATGGTAGGAGCCTTAATTAGTGCTCCAGGTGCTCATGGTGGACGATCCAGAGTGGTATTTTGGACCGTTCGGAGCATAGGTGGTGCGATTTCAGGCGAATCGCACTGCGATGGTGGCACCAGCGTGGTCGGGGAAGGCCACACTCTTCGGGGAGTTGGTGGGGGCCAACAAAGCGCGTGTTGACTGGGCGGTCGGCGCATTGGTTGTCTCACGAAGGAGGCGTACGGCGACTTGCAGCAGCTACACAACCAAAAGTGCCTCAGATGTTCGAGCTCTTCCTCAAAGTACTTTAGGCGGGGACTAAGAGAGTCAGAGTCGATGGTGACTTCATCAGGCTGAAGTCTACACGAGGGCCCAACAATTCATGGCTCGCTTCGGGAGCTTGTGAGAAGTGTGGAGGAGGGGCCAGCTTGTGATGAACCATGACTGAGGACGGGGGAGAAGAAGAGCAGGCGGAAACCACCAACGAGTGGGGTGACACGTGAGAAAGATATGCGTGGAGTGACCAGCAGCGGTATGGGGGTCGGTGGTCAGGCTGGAGGCCTTCATGGGCAGTCATCAGACTCTAGTTCCCGTGACACTAGTGGGTGGAGCCGACAAGGAGCAGCCGAAGCCCTTGGCCGCCACAGATTGCGAAGATGCCGTGTATGCTGTTATAGACTGCACGTGTGTGAATGACTTGTTCGACAAACTGAGAAACATGTTCTGTTGCTGAAGTGGAGGCTGTGCTTGTGACAGATTCCACCAATGTGTATCAATGTGTATGGCTGCGTGAACAGAACGGCCCTGGAACTGCTAGGGTTTAAGGAAACCAAGGGGCATACACTCTGGCGCTCAAATAGCGAACCCATTGACCAAAAAAAGAAAGAAAGAAAGAAAGAAACAAAGAAAGAAAGAAGGCGAACATCCCCCCATTCTACAACCTTAGCCAATGTTGGAAGATCGTGGGCGACCCACCTATGAGATCAGCGCATATAACGCAAAGAAAGTCGGCCTTGACGCTGTGGGCGCTGAACCTGCTCAGTCGGGGAACCCTCATGATCAACACAAGTTGCCGAAACCCCGCCAACGCAATGATTTCGTACCTAAGCACCTGCTTGGTTCTCATCTTGAGCCCAGTCACAAGTTGGAAGATTCAAAAATGACAGGTTGTTGCATAGGTCTCGTGACGCCATTTAGCCGCTGATGCCGCTCGTTTTGCGTGAGACAGGGATTGCATGGGCTTGCGCGCGAAAAATCAAAAAAACTTGCGAGGAGTGCGCGCGGTGCTACTTGTAATTTTGATGCAGATGCGGTTGATTGAGATATGATGAGATATGTCTAAGATAGGGCTCGGGCCAAGTTGGGCCAACCTGCCAGGCCAGGAGCCTACCCATGTCACGGGCAGCATGGAACCCAGGGCATGGTCATTGATGGTGGAGGCGAGGGACAGACACATTTGTTATTTGAAGCCTTCAAGTCTTTTGTCTGAAGCATTCACAAACTTAACTGACGCCTTTCTAACCCGAATTGTCGTTGTCAGGCATGGTTCGAATTCCGCTTTTGATGTACGAGAGCGGTGCCTAGTTGTGGGCGTTGCGCAATACCATAGGTGTTGGTCTGCGACAACAATCACAGACATCTTGCCAATGCTACAAGCATCTACCAGCAAAGGCACTGTCTTGTTGCTGGTGATATTGGAAAGCCAGTCGCGCAGGATCCCCAGTAGGTGTTTGCAGATTGTTTCTATCATTCCTGAATCAGTCCATTCAGTTCTATCAGTTGCATGTTTTTTTGAGTGTTTTCTGACCAGTAAGGTTGTCTCCTTGTGATGCCCATCAGGCCCACTTGTAACGCCAATTGCGTCCTCAATTTTGGATCTTTCGTCCAGGCTACTCAGCGTTGGAGTTTCTCAGAAGGACGACTCCAACAGCAAGGAAGCTGCGACGAATGACGAATGTTCGTTGTTTGACTGTTTCATTCTTGAACCTTAAATATGACCGGGGTTTCGTTTAAGTGATTGCAGGCACCATGAACTGCCTGGCAGCAGCAAGCGAGAAATCAGACAAGTCAGGGAAACCCAGAGTGACTTGCTGCAAAGTAGTTGTTTGTGATATTGTGGCCAGGCTGCTTTGCCAATCATGTGTCCAACATTTGTCAGGTCTTGACCCCACAACTATGTAATGAGGGTGAACGTTGGGGGTCTTTGACGTCGTAAGGGCTGAATTCTAGTGATGCGTAGACTGATGAGATGTGTAGACCAATTCGGAGGGTCAGTGATGTCGACGTTCGTTAGCAAGTGAGAGCCCAAAGGAAAGGTGGTAAGTGGAGGTTTTGAATCGACTTATATAAATGATAAAGGAGGTTGGGTAGACCCCAAACTGAAACTAACACCGCCGTCTCTTTCCAGTTCAAGCTGCAGGCCACCAGCAGGCCACAGAACAATCCGGCGCTGTCAGCAGAATTGCCCAACGTGACAACAAACTACCTGTACACTGAGGCTACCATTTGCGTTGACCATGGCGACCATGCCTCAAGGGCAGCTGTCAATGGCAATATTGTTGCGCGGATTTCAAATTGTGAGAATTGGCTTAAAACGTTCAATTGCAAGGCAATGCAACAACAACGAAGAGCAACAGTGGGAATGGTTTTGTCCTTAGCGACCTGTGCAAGTGCTGGGGATGTTTCCCCCACGGATAGAGATCTTGATAGAATTCGAAAAATTCGATGAAAACACCTTTTTTTTAATCTGAGGTATATTTAACCTATCTTATGTTGCAATTCAAAGAAAATTGTATTAATTGATAATGAATAATATAATATATAAGTATATTGAATTCAAAATATTAAATATAAACATTGAATTATGTGTTTAAACTAAATATATGTAATGTTTAATAATATGAATGTATGTTATTTTGGATTTTTGCTTTAGTATGGGAAAAAACATATCTATATTGTATTTTTCTAGTATTTTATTTATTTAAAATTTGGTAATCGTGTTTTTCGGTTTTTTTATGATGAATCGGAAGTACGATTTATAATATTATGATTGTTAAGTATATAATTTGGATTTTGATTAATTTGGTAAGTCCGGTTTTAAATTTGGGGTACGTAATGGATGATTTGGATTTTTTTTTATTGTATTTTATTTATTTGATATAAAGTTGTTTGTTTTTTTTAATAAAGAAAAATATAGGTATTATAAATTTATTGTTTTTTGATTGAAAAAAGGCGAATGTAATCTGAATAATTATATAATATATCTAATTTGAATTTTCTAGGATTAAAAAAAAAGCGTAGGGCTTGTAAGAAGGTATTGATTGAAATTTAGATTATTTACAAGGATCATATATTTTGGTTAATAGAATTTTTTTTTCGTATTCGTAATGATTTGAAATTGAATTATTTTATATGCATTGAACCTTTATTGGAGAGATGTTTATAGATATTTAAGGAAATATTGTTGTTATTGTTTAGGTGGAATGCGTCTTGTAGCTTGAATTATTGCGAGTGTTTTTGTTGGTATGTTGGTCGAAATGAGGATATCTTATTGATTTAGGAATTGGCATGGTAAATGTTTGATTAATGGATTATGGATGATTGATAGTGCATTCATTTATATAATATATTAATTAATTTATTTTTAATGGTTCGACGGAAATTGCTTAGGCCATTTTTATTGGTCTATATATTATTTTAATTTTTGAAAGAATAATTTATTTGAGATTTATATGTAGATATTTATATAATTGTAAAGGTATGGAGTGAATATTTATTACGTGTGATCGCTCGAAGTGTTAATGTGGAAACAAGTAAGTCGCATGCGATTCTTTTGCGTAGCAAGCGTGCATGCTGAGGGACCCCTGTGGGCTAAGCTCGTGAACCAACGATCGGCGGGCGGCAAGGTTGGAAACCGCTTATGCCAAAAATTCTGTCTTTTATCCTTTTGGGTGGCACCTAAATCCCACCGGTGGTTGTGGCCAAGAAGCTCGTCAGAATTCTCGCCACTTCATTATTTCCTGTTGGGCGTAGAAGGCGCAATAGTCATACTGCCTCATCGTGTCAGCATCGGCCCCAGAAAGGCCTTGGTACTTGCTGCCTGTTCTTGTAGTCCACACTGACCTCGGCACTGGGTTGCGATTAAGCTCGTACTTGATGGTTTCCAGCTTGTCATAGGCAGTCTGCCATTTGATTCTCACATCTTTATATTTGCCGTCGAGCTCCCCGATACCACCGGACAGATAGTCCGCATCAGGGTGAGGTCGTCCACTTCTTTCTGCAATTCGTTGTTCTCGCCCTCCAGCGCGTCGAGCTGGTCTTTGAACTGGGCGTTGTAGGCATCTGAATTTCGTAGGTCTTGTTGAAGTCGTGTGATTTCCATCTTGAGGAGGCCAAATATATTCTTTTCGAGAGCTGTCTCCGCCTGGGTGCCACATTCCTTTGTGGTAGAGCTTGGACTCTCTGTTGTCATCGTCCAGGTCTCTGTCGTTGTCATTGTCTTTAATGTCGTCGGAGTCGTCGTTGTAGCCCTTCCCCACATGTGCCATCCCACCATGGTCATCAGTAGGATGAAGAGAGTGAGGGTCATCTCAGGAGAGAAGGCGAAGTCCAGGGCCATCTCGAAGCTAGGCTGCATGGCTTGCACCATCATCATCTGCGAGGTGAGGATCATGTAGTCCAGGCTGTGTCGATTCCCTGATCGACTGATCGCATGTTTGCGAGCATTGGCCTGCCGTTCAGCCAGAGTCTTCTTCTTGGCGGCCTGGAAGGTCATGTCTGACCGTAGGGAGATTTGGTGACTCCTCAAACGGTCGGCGAACAGCTGCCTTGTTGAGGATTTGGTGACTCCATCAGCTAGCTGGATCTCTGAGCTAACCCAGCGCAGCTTCGTGTCCATGGAAAGCATCTTTTGCTTTGTGACCATGACCTCGATCTTCGTCCGCTTGTCTCCTTGGAGACTGGGTGTCTCGGCTTTGAGGCTGTCGTAGAGGGCTTTGGCGTCTACCACCAGAGCTAAGGAGAGAGAGGGCTTCAGCTCGTTGACCTGTCGAAGCTGGAAGTCGTGCTTCAAGCATCCTTCCCAGAAGATGAGGAGGTACTCCAAGGCGTCCATGGCTGCTGAGCAAGCTTGACTCTCAGCATTCAGCGAGGATCTGCTGACCCTTGGCAGTTTGAAGCTCCTCCAATCCAGGATGATATAGTCGTGGTCGGAGGTGTCATCGAGCACGGCCTTGTTGCAAAGAAGGAGCAAGTAGCCTCCTTGGCTCTCATTGTTTCTCCTCACACCCCAGGCGGCATCACTCATCGCCACCATGCACAGGTTGTCCAGCGAACCTCCCAATGATCTGAAGATCAGACCAGTGTCGTTGTTGTTCTTGGCGAAGCGGAGGGTCTTGTTTGCTTGCTGGGCAACACCAACCGTGGATGTAGTGACTTCTCCACATAGAAGCGACACTGAGGCGCATAAGTGTGGTGAGGTTTGAGTTGCCGGCCATTGAAGTGCTCCAAGTAGCGCTCGAAGTGAGCTCTGCTCGCGAGAGTTGAGATCTCGCTCAGGATCATTGTCGGCGCAGGTCATGGGCTTGATGCCTTTGAGGTAGTCTGCCTGCGTCATGACTGACTCGGTGGCCGTTCGTGCCAGCTGACAGCCGCAGAACTCTAGAGGTCGCTCTCCTTCCTTGGTCCAGTGCTTGAAGTTGAAGGAGGTCTTGAGGCTGTCCGTGAGCTGCTGGTACGTTGGCGATGAAGCTAAGCCACAGCCAAATAGATCATCAACGTGGATGCCAACCATAGCTGTCAGGGCCTTGTTCTCATCGAAGAACATGTAGAGGCACTGATCCAGAGGATGGGATTGGAATCCCAACTGCAGTAAACGGCGTCTCGCCACTGCAAACCACTGCCTTGGAGCATCAGCCTGTCCGTAGAGGGGCTTGATCAAGCGCATGAGGGTGCCCGGAGGAACGCCGATCAACTCGCAAGCGTCCTTGGGGATCCGGGCCCACAAGATTCTCTGCTGAGGATCACCCTGAAGGAATGCCGTTGCAACGCCGGCAGTCCAGCGCTCCCAGGAAAGCACCTCGGAGATGGCGATGATCACCTGGCGAGAGCTCCTTGACAAAGTGGGTGATGAAGTGTCGAGTTGACCTTGCAGCAGGTCGGGATCAGCAAATCCCTGAAGAACCAGTCTTGCCTTGGCCTTGAGGCCACCTTTCCCATCAGCTGCCCACTTGAGAACGAAGCGAGCGCGCATGACCCTGTTGTGATCAACAGATTGTGGATCGAGTTCGATCTCCCAGACTCCGTTCTTGAAGATGCTGGAGAGCTCGTTCTTCTTGCCCTCCAAGAAGGCCAAACGGTCTTCTAGGGACATTTTCTTCTCGTTGAGGTCTGCGCTCTCCTTGACGTTCTTCTTCTTGGGGCTAGCGGCACCGACTGCTTGCCAAATGTGTCCACGGCCTCTGAGCGTCTTGCAGCGGCTGAGCTTGTCGGAGAGGTCGCCGATGTAGTAGAGACCAGTCTTCTCTGCACCACTGACGGTGAGGGGGTACAAGGTCTTGCCTGTCCAAGCTTCGCTGAAGTGCTGCTGCTCCTTGGAGTTGACATAGATGGTCCGTGAACCTTGCTGAAGCGTCAGGCCGGTGGTTGTTTGTAAGTAGGAGGGGTCAATGGGAAAGGTCTCCGGCTTGTAGGTTGACTTTCTTCCCCAAACATGGTTTCTGACCAAAAAGCCGTCCTCATAGCTCCACCAGTCTGCGGTCTTGCCGAGGGTGAACTCGTGGGTCTTCTCATCATAGTGCCATCCGGACGGGAGAGGTGTGGACTTGCTGAAGTCAAAGCTATTGAGGTTGAGGTCCACATCACCATCATCTGTCCGGGCTTTCTTACGAGTCCAGATCGTCTCTTGCTGATCGAAGCGACGGCGTCGATCTTGAAAGGATTCATGGGCTGGTGGTGCATAGAGAGGATCAACGGTCATAGGACCTGATGAAGATGATGCCTCAGGTGCGGGCACATCGGCTGGTTCAGCCTTTGGAGAGTTCAGATCATCATCTTCAGGTACAGGAAGGTCTGCTGGATCGGGACGTGGGTCTTGTTGATCCGTCCTGGCCATTGGAGTTTGGAGGTGAGAAGGTTCACCCATAGGCTCCTCAAAGTCATCATCATCCAGTTCAGGAAGTTCTGGATGTCGCTCATGAGGTTGACGTTCCTCCAACTGAGGTTCCAGCTGCGGTGGCTCTGACTGAGCATCCAGAGGTTCTGCTTCTGGAGGTTCTGCTGCTGGCAATGCTGCTGCTCTCGACTGAACTGCCTCCTGCATTGAGCGGTCGAAGGCTTGTTGAACTCCGTCAGGTAGAGCAGGCGAGGACATAGTCAACGGAGCGGGATGATGAGGATCTGGAAGCGAAGGCTCATAGTCACTGACCTCAGGGTCAACCTCATCGATCGCTTGTTGGCCTTTCGCAAATCCACGATGCGAACGGATCTCCTTTGTCTCAGGCCGTCCAGGGCTTGTTGAGCTCGTTGCACTGCTCCGATCTGTCTGCCATCATTGACCATCTTGCGAACGTGTTGAACTCCAGCACGAAGGAGCACAGTGCCGTGAGCGAGCCAGTAGACACTGACGGTGCCTGAGTCCGGGTTGCGTTCCACAGCAACCACTACCGGAGGTCCTCTCCAGCGGATGATGTGGTTCTTGTCGGGAGCATCACGCCAGTAGTAGCATCGTTCGCCTGGAAGAAGCTCCTCGTCTTTGCCAGTGAAGCGTCGGAGTAGAGCTCGGCGAAGTTTCACGTCAATCTCAGCCTTGCCACAAGCACTCTGTGCGGCGAACTTGAGGTTGAGCTTTCGATGCAATTTCTCCTGCTCGGTGAGTTGCAACTGCAATGGACCTGTTCGTTCATCAGTCAACAGTCCGGGAAGAGCAGGTTCTCGACCGAGAGCGAGCTGAGTGGGCGTGAAGCCATTGACAAAGCTGTTGCTGTTGAGAGCTGGAACCACCCAAGATAGTGCGCTGTGCACGCCATCCAAACCTGTGAGGTTGTTCTCCATCATGAAGATTGAAACTGCTTTGCGCACAATCTGGTGTCGTCGTTCCACTATGGATGTCCTGGTGTGAGCTTGACCAGGTGAGATGCGGATCTCGATGTCGTTGGACTCGCACCACTGCATTGTAGAGTCAGAAGCCCAACCAGTACCTTCATCCACATAAAGCTGCTTTGGAGGTCCATGATGTTGGATCCAGGCTCTTTCCAAAGCTTTCTGTAGTGATGGGCCCTTTTCGTCCATGACGGTGCGAGCTGCCATAAAGCGGGTGGCGACATCAACCATGACCAGGATGGCGATCTTGCGGGTTTGGTTCTTCTTGCGACCAGGTTCGATCACCATGCCAACCTCGTCCAGGTCAAGCCAGAGGACATCGGCTTGAAGTTGGCTGTTGAACTCTGTGGGTCGATCAAGGTGTCCTGGTGCGTTGCCTTTCTTCACGGAGTGGATCTCGCAGAAAGGACATTCCAAATCCTGAACAGCTGCCAGCACTTTTGGGCTGCAGTTCCGACTCCTCAGGGCATGGAGCAAGACTTCTTTCCGTGGGTGGCCAAGGTTGCGATGAAGTCGCTGTGCGATCCGAGCTGCCTCATGCCCATGGTTGGAGGCCAACTTGCGAAGTGCTCCTGTGAGAGGTGCGGCATCTTCAGAGACTGCATATACTTGTTCGTGTAGGCCTTCATCCAACAAGAGGGCTCTGACCAAGTGGGCTGCCATCTCATCTTGATAGTTTTCAGCTCGGTGGCACCTGTTGCGACCTTCAAGTCGTTGATGTTGATGTGAACCATCGCATCTTTTGGACATGATCTCGAACATCGCCCATTTGGTGGTGTTGATGCGGGTGGTCTTCAAGATGGGCTGTTCGATGCCGTGATCGTCAGGGATTGTCGCTCCATAGGCGCACTGGTCGAAGATGGCCTTGTGGCCAGGCAAGTTCCTGAACTGCTTGGTCTCCCAGGCCAGGCTCAAGCGAGGGTGCTCGATGTGGGCGTGAGCTCCTCGTCGAACTTGCTTCATGTAGAGCTTCTTGCACATGGCGAGGTGGGTCTCGGCGTCGATCTCGCGCCGTTCAGTCAAGTCGGCGGCCTGTTCAGCGTTGGAGACGTTGATCTGTTGCATCCTGGACCACAAGGTGCACTTGGGAGACATGAAGATCTCGTCTGGCTCCAAGTCGTCGGCCAATCGAAGCAACTGCTTTCTGTGTGAGGCTTTGTTGAAGTCCCAACCATCTTCCAGACCGAACCTCATGACATCAACGTCGCCATGAGATCGCAGGAGGCTCGTGATCTTGCCTTCACCGGCATAGACTTCCCAGATCAGCTTGCGGCGGCGATGTTGTCCGCTGTCACGAGCATGGAGAATCTCCTGCTGTACGTGCTTCTCTGTCTCCTGTAGTTGGGCTTCAATCCAAGACATTGTCTTCTGAAGTTGCTCGATGGTCTTGCAGGCTTCTCCGATGTGGCAAAGCCGGACACTTTGCGGCCAACTGCCCATCCGTCCAGCAGACAGGCGGATCCTCTCCGAAGAGACGAGTGATCGACCTCGAAGACCCCATGATCAACATGGTCATGAACGTCGAACACCACCCCGACGACATGGATGAGGGCGAGGTCACTGCGGACGAAGACATCTTCTACGACGTCGAAGACGCCTATGTGGAAGGTGAAGTGTTGGTTCGAGCCGGAGGCTGGTTGACGAACGAGCCGGACACCTGCATTCAAGACCAAGGCGCAAGCTCATTCTTGATCGGCTCTGAGTACGCCTTGCGCTACATCAAGTGGCTTGAGATGATCGGCTATCCCATGGACGAGCTCACCTTCAAGAGATGCGACAAGTCCTTCAAGTTCGGAGGCGACGCCTCCGGCCACTCACGATGGATGGTGGAGCTCCCGGTCAAGATCTCTGGC